AGACGATGCAAAGTGTTTTTTTTTTCCAGAAACATGCTGGCATACATAGATACAGGTACTTTTTTGCTAAAGGAATATATGTACGAGTGACTCCTATTGTTGTGCCTTTTATTTCATTGGACTGTAACTACATTTATCCAATATTTCAGCCCGGTTATGATATGTCATCGGCAGCGAAACGGATGTACTCTCCCGTTTTAACATACGACTGTCACTCATAGCACTGATAGGACCCATTTTTCCAGCTCACAGCCCCCGAGCATGTCCGGGCCACCGACGGCGGGCCGGTGGACGAGTTAGTCACGCCGCCAGTTCCGGTAGCGCGAGCCTCGCGCAGCAGTGACGCTGACACGCTGATCTGTGTGCCCACTCCTCAGGGGCGACAGGATTCCACCGGCTCTCTAACCGCCAACCGGCAGCATCGGCAGGAATTTCAGCGATGTGGCGCAAGTGCAGCGCCGCGACCGCAGCTCGCCCCCGCCCTCGTGCTGACGGCGCTCTTCGCGGAAGGCGGTGTCTCGTTCTGTGAAAGACCGCTGTGCTCAGTGATGCAGTTATGACTTACGTATGCCTATTACGCATCGGGGTTGTCCCAGAAGAAGCGTCTCAGCGAGGATTCTGATGTACAAATCTAGCATATCAGGGAGTCGGTGACATTAAAAGCGGCCGGTCTCTCTTTTGTGGTCTGGGGCTATGTGGTACGCAGAAAAGCTTCCGATCCTATTTCCTGACGACTTAGACTTGTGCTGCTTCACCTAAGAATATGCAGTTATCTAGGGAATATATCGCCGTTGTGTGAGAACATGTGGACACAGACAGAGACGAGTATGCAAATAAGAGGGCATTAGTCACCTTGCGATGTCTTTCTTCTCATGCTGCTTCCCTCGGATACGAGTATGCGCGCCAGTGTTGAACCCTCTTCCGTTTATGCTATGTATGTGATAAAATTCGGCAGAGACATGCATACAAGCATTTCAATAGTGCCGCATTTCAAGAAAGCAGTGCGCTTCATGTCTTAATTGTCCCGTTAATGTCCGAATACGAAATTGTCTCGAAGTCTGTTACGATCTTTCGATTTTGCTTATTGATGCTTTTTAGCTCTATGTCATTTCGTCGTCACTTCATAACATTTTTGGCAATTTTTTCTGCAGTACTCTTAATTATTTCATTCCCAGCTCTATAATGCTATTCGACTTAATCTTACACAATGTTATCTATCCTGCGCTGGGTTCTTGCTTTTTTGCATTCAGCTTTTAATTTCCATATAAAATGAATCTGCACGTGTCATCGGCTTTCTTCCGTACGCCGTCACCACAACGCTACGGTTTCAGCTTCCATCCACAGGCCTGTCTCTGGCCCTTCAACGGCCCCTTCACCGTCCCTTCAGCGGTCCTTCACTAGCCGGTCACCGCAGCGGACGCCGCCATTGTCCCCTGTCCCGAGTTAATTGGAGAAAATAATTAGGCCTGATGTGACATTCCCTGTACCGAGCGGCGGCACAGTAGTTACAGTTATCCGCCATGGAGGCGGGTCACTGTCGGGAACGGGCCGCAGCCGGACCGGCAGCGTGCCGACAGCACGAGACATCCGGCGAACAGAGGTACCGCCGGCCACCGGATCGGAAACACAATGGTGCCGACCGACCGCCGCGCCGGGAAAGGAGTAGTCCGGCCACCGGACGCAGCGCTGGTGGACGCCGAATGTCAGAAATACCCGCACGAGGAGAACAGAGAGTCGTTTAATAAAGATTCCAGTGGAATGTGGATGTGGCGTGTGTCCGAAGCAGAGGTTACTGTACTTTGGCGACCCTCATTCCGAATATAGGATTGTTTTTGGTACGTGAAGTTTCTCTTAATGACTCAACAATCAGCATTCTAGGCAGTTTTATGCTTTGACACGGTAAAGACAATGGAATCTCGCTGAATGCGTGATGCTCTTTGGGACGTTCTTGCTGTCATGTGTGGCACACACTGATGTAAAGATATGCACCTCAAAAGTGGCTTGTCTAGAAGAGAACCTTCTGACCAAATTTCCTGAGCGGGATTTTCTGAGAACCTCGCAGTCCTGAGTCCATTCCTGCATCACATACTAATTGCGGCCTCAAGCAGTCTCAAGCACTTAGGATCGAGCGGTTGGACGCTGCAGCCGCGGTCTGCACGACCCGGGACGGCGGCGGCGGCTGCGATCGAGGTGGCATGTGCAGGAGGACACTCCCAGGCGGACACACCCGTGCCCTAGGGCTCGTTATTGATGTCAGCAGATACGATCGGCGTGTCACTGAACCGTGCCGCGCCGGAGGTCCGCGGCCGGCCGGCACCGGTTGCATCAGCGCTCACCGAGGGCTCTGAGAGAACCTGAGCGGGCCGTGTAGGCGGCGATGGCCCCGGACCGCTTAATTGGCCTCTGGTCGACCACCGCCGGACGGAGGACAGGGCGCGGCGGCGACCCGGGAGTCTAGGAGCGATCGGTGCCTGGGAGCCGGCAGTGGGTGCGCCCCAGTCACCACGGCCACCGGCGCCGACCGGCCCACACACAATCCATGATCGGAACAATCCGTGGCACCTTTATCACCCCGTCGTAAAGGCCTAAACACCGTGACGCACTAAATACCGAGCCCAAGTATTTCTGTGTGGCTTTGAGTTACTTTTACGAGCTTTCTGATACAAAGATTACGACAAATTCAATAAAAGGCTGCTTGATGTCGCCATCATGGTTGCAGGCACGCCGGCACCGGCTGCAGCCACTCATTATATCTCTGCGATCGTAAAGAGTCGCTGCTAATGGCGGACAGTCTCGGACGGGCCACGGAGTCCTGGCCGGCCGCGAGGGGCCTCTCTGAGCGACGCCGCCTCCACCTCCGCCGAGGCCACCGATGCCCATCTCGGCGCTAGATTACGAGCGTCCGCGGTGACACCAGATCGCCCGACGATTGCACCACTTTGCGACATCGCCGCCGAGGCTTATAACAGCCGCATAACGTCCCCGTACGGTCGTACGGGAGACGTTACGCGCTACGGCGGGCGGGGAGACGTTGGGGCTCGGAGAGGCGGGCCGGGCGGCGCCGGCTGCAGGCGGTCGTTCTGCAGCGGACCACGCCGGCAGTAACGGCTGTAATGGCCCCACAGTCCAGCTTATCGGAGCCCAGAGGAATGCCACGCCGAGAAGGACCCGAAAGCTGGAATGATTACGGCGGCGGCTGAGAAGCTGCGCTGAAATTTAAGTCGCCGGTCAAAGGGATCGTGGCGGATTTGTGAGCGGAGCGGCCGCCGGACGGTGCACACCAGTCGACATGGCCCACTCGACTCAACAAAGATGGCCGCCGGCACGACAGCCGCGCGCTGCCCGCTACCGTCCGGTCCCCGTTTGGCCAGCTCCGCCTCATAGCAAGTCATGTTGACTGTAGGTGCGGCCAAACTTACCCAGCTATCAGCAAACATATTTTGCAACTTATCATACTTTAAGTCGAAACATGCATTAAATAACTCACACAAACTGTCGTGACCAGCCGTTGGCTTCCCATCCTCGAAAACCGTCCGTTTTGCTGAGCGTTGCGGCGCCCGTCGCTACCAGTGGCGGTTTTAATCGCTTCCTGACTTTGACTGAATCATGACGTCGTAGCGGGCAGGCCGACGAGGCTCGGCAAAATATTGAAAAGAGCCGGCTGGCGCCGTTTCTGGAGAGCTCAGTCGAGTGGACAGCGGTGCTGATTAATGGTCGCTGGCGCCGGGGCCGCCGGCTTCGGCTAATGATGTTCCGAAACATGGGTGACACCGGCACCTGAAGCCGCGTCTGCCGGCCTTCTGCGGGTGCTGCGGCATTGGTCTGCACGAAATTCTGGTTTGATTGGGAGGTTTGGCTTATATATCGACAGCCCTGACCACAAATAAATGGTGTCATCATCGGTGGATGACGGTGAGATTAACTAGTGATGACGTACAAACATTCTCAGCATCCAGTAACCGCAATCTCGTGCAGTTTAAGATACAAGGAATGTCAAGGTACATTTGAAATCTTGGGTTCATGAACATAACTAAACACTTGTCTTGAAGTGAAACTCGGTCGTTTTCACAAGCGTAAAATTGCTTAGTGAGATTCGACGTTTATAGGGAATCGGAGCTATGAACTGCTGAAAAAAACTAGAAAATCTGCGCCAAGAATCTGTACTTGGATTTTACTTCTGACGTTTGTGCGCACTGATACTTTTAAAGGTGTTACAAAAATATAATCGACAGAATGAAGGAATGACAGAATACTTATCATCGAGAGCTATGATGCAATGCACCAAATAATGCAAATAAGAGACAAAATATATTAGACGGTGTTCGCTGCTTACTGCAATAGATCGCTGGACTGGGGCAGTGTGCTGTCACGATCTCTCGCTGGTGAATACAATAGATAATACTCAATACAAGAATAAAATGTGAAACAGAATAAAAAAATGAATACCAATTAGAAGAAATGGTACAGTTAGCTCTTCAGACTGCTGTCCAGCAAAATGGACGCCATAGCGGTGGTCTGAGGGTGCCGGTGGTGCCATTTAAATACCGTTGCATCATCCGTTTTTGCTCGAATACGTTTGTGTCTACGTATTCACGGTTGTCATGTTGAGCTCGGCATCCCCCTCAGCGCCCGGCGGACCCGTTTGTAATCACACCGTATCAGTCTGCACGCCATCCCCAGAGAAACGTGTTTCACTTGGCTACCGCCGTAAGCAGCGGCGAGTTTTACCGAAAATATCAGGGCCGATTGGATAACATCTGTCGTGCCACCTGCAGGCGGCAGCCGTGCGGTTTGGTCCGACCGCTGAGCCCGCTGAGTGGCTGATCGCCGGGAGAGCCAGCTCTGAGAGTTTATACCGGCAGAGGGATGAGAGATCACCTCCTGTCGGGCACATCACCCCGCCGTCTGCTTTACACCGCTCTCTGTGGTCTCGACTGGTCTTTGTAAGGCTGCTCAGCGTTGCTCGATCCGTCATATCGGGTCTCAGTAAAACGCTCTCGTCAATTCTTCGTCATATATTATGTACACACACACACACACATGGAGAAATAGCGACGTCGTGTGGGGCGCGGCCGCACCGCCCACGTATGCACACATACATACAGTGACGGCCGGCGCAGTGTATACTTACACTTCACACATACACTATTGAATCAGACTAGCACAAAAACTTGACTGCCTGTTTGAACGGGTTCTGCGGCAGAGCTGGAAGAGAATGCAAATAGTGGTCCGGCCCAGGAGGCCCTGACGAATACACGAGCCCGCACTCCGTGGTCAACTCCCACTCCACATGCATACCACCACACGATAATGTTAAATATGACTGAGCTAACGAAAACATGGCATGGACACGCAAGTAACAAGACGAACGATATGGGCAATATGAGTTATCGATATCACAGTTGATGGATGCTCGAATCGAGCCAATGTTACCCCGCTTCAAGCCCGTCCCAGCAGTCATTCTGCACGCGCGCCGGTGCACGCACACGCACCCGCCCGAATACTTGTCCTGCATGCCGCCCCGGTGCTTCCAGCGCCGCCGCGTAACGCGCACAGGAGTTGAGCGAGAGCAGAGAGCGCGCGATAAAGCGCGTCGGCCTGCGTGTGTCGGAGATAGTGCGTGATTAGGTCAGTGTTAGCGACCCTATCGTCGAAAGCATCGCCGGCCGGTCGCGGCGGGCGCGGAAAAACGCCGGCCCGCTGTCGGGCCTGTCCGCTCCGATCACAAGAGAGACCCGAGCAGGAGAGGAGCGCTGACAGCGGGCCAGTCGCCTCCTGTCGGCGCGACACAGACCGGCGCGAAACGATCGCCGGGAATGATAGACAGTCGGCACCTAATGAAGTCTGTGGGGTCCGGCAATGAGCCGACTTGATTGCATCTTAATCGACGGTGTCCTAATGCGTCCGCTTTGTTTACGCTAACTCTCACATTAGCGCCATTACTCGGGCACTCAGTCCTCTGTGCCGGCCGCCGGCGCCGACCGCCGCAATGGCCAATAAACCCAACGCGGCGGCGAGCTGAGAGGGCCGGCCGCGACTGAAGAGTGCAACTCGGCGACCTCTGTGACCGGCCGGGGCCGCCCCCGCCCACCGCGGCCTCCCGCGCACCGCGCCCATCTCCGACATCAGCCGGGCTGGGCTCGGACCCATCCGGGGCGCATTCCTGGTGCGCCGAGGAATGCCGCCGAGCGCAGCGGCGAGCGGCGCGTAAATCACTGGGCGACCCTTCCAAATAGCGTCGAGACGGCCCGGTCCCAGGGGTGGCGGCGGCGGCGGCGGCGCAGGGGGCAGCCGGCGGCGGACGGGCCGCCGTCCTGCCAGGTGACACAAAGGCGGGGACCGAGCGGAGACCGGCGGGTCGGCAGAGCGGGGACGACAGAGGCCGCCGGCGCGCCCCGGACCGGTTTGTTATAGCTGCGCCGGCGGCCGCTCCGTGCCGCTGAATGGAAGGGGAGTGGCCGACGCGGCGCGAGCTCGTCAGCCGTCCGCTGATGGCCCGCTGTCGGATATGATTGGGAGGCCAGACCGCAGGGCGGACCGAGCAGCCAGATAATCACCGGCTTGCCGACAACGCTCTCAATTACCGACAAAACGAGCAGCTGTGGCGGCCAACAAAATGGACCCACCGTGCGGCGCGGCAGAGCGAAGGAAAGCGTGACCGCTAGTTAAACAAAAGGACGAGATTAGAGCGAACGGGGACACGGCTGAACGGACGGAGCGAACGGGCGCGAATGGAAGCGACCGGGGCGACCACAGAGGCGACCGGAAACGGTTTCACTGACCTGACCTGTCAACAATCACTCGCGAGTGGACCGCGGCAGCCAGCGTGGCGGCGCCGCGACCGCTTAAAGCACTGTGTCTGAGCGTCCCGCGGCAGCGAGCGCCACTAGCTGGCGTAAGTCCTCTCACACCTGTCCATCACGTCTGCCACGTTCCTGATCCGCGCGTTCAGGATCTTGATGCTCTTCTCGGGCAGCGTGGGCAGGAAGTTGAGCAGCTCGGGATGCCGCTGACGGAACATCCGTCTCAGCAACTCACCGATGTTGCCCTCGTCGCGCAGCTGCCGGATCTTGTGCACCGTCTGGCGGCGGAACACGCACAGCGCATCCAGCATGGTGCGGTGGTAGGTCTCGTACTTATCGAGCAGCCGGTACCCGTGCAGCAGGCCCGACTCGTTGTCGAGGAAGATCAGCAGGCCGGTGGCCGGGTCGCGCGCCAAGTTGTGCGCCGGCGCGTCCATCATGGACGGGTTCCACTGCTGGTTGTAGAGGTTGTTGACGATGCGGTCTAGGTTGGCGGTCAAATAGTCGAAGACGATGAGGTCGGACCACTGCGCCAGCTCGTGGACCTGCTGGCGGTGCTCGCGCAGTTTGAGACCGGCCAGGTCGAGGTCGGTCGGGTGCAGGCGGCGCTCGGTGGTGCGCAGCGGCTCCGGGATGTAGGCCTGCTCCAGGTGCTCCTGGAACTTGGTGAGCACCACGGGCCGCTGCTCTGCCCACTGGGCCAGGTTCAGTTGGGCGCGCACCGCCGACCACTGCCACTCAGCGGGCTCCACCAGCAGCATCGACGTTGGCGGCAGGTTCCGGATCCCGAGCTCTCGACTCAGCAGGAAGCTGAAGATCTCGCCCTGGATCTGGTCAAAGTTCTGACGGTAGCGGCAACACGACTGTGTGCCGTTCTCGAAGGTCAGCAGACGGTTCTGCATGCGACCACAGCCCTCCTCCACCTTGATGAAGGCTGAGTGCTGGCAGAACTCGTGCCACGCCGCCACGGCCTCGTCGTTGAAGCCAGGAGGAAGCGAATCCTCGACGGCGTTGTTCCAGAAGATGCCGTCTGTTAGACTTGACGACGGCGCCGGGGAGGCCGTCGTCGCCATCGTCGTCGTCGTTGTCGTCGTGGTTGTAGTGGTCATCATCTCCTTTTCTGTCGTCGTCGTCGCGAACTGCTCCAGCTCGACGACCTCAATCTCCATCTCAGCTCTCACCTCGTCGGCTGACAGCGGCGGCGACAGTGTCTCTTCCGACTCGATGACGCCAGGCGTCACTGACGACACATCGATGACGTGCACCTCGTCCATGGACGGCATCACGGCGCGCGGCGGCACCGGAGACGGTCGTGGCGTCAGCGTCTCCAGCGCGTTGTCCCGCGCGCTGGCGTAGTCCTGGACGACCGTCTGGGGGCCGGGCCGCACCTCAGCAGTGGAGGACAGCGGCGGCAGCACGTACAGCGGGATCAGCACGCCGAGTACCGTGCCCAGGACGAACGCCACTCCGGCCGTGATGACACACAGCGCCTTGGAGGTCCGCGACGCGGACACGCGCACTCCGAACAGCTCCTGCTTGCTCATGGTGGGGCGGTGTGGCCAGCTCACATGGGCAGCGGACGCGGCGGCAGCGGCGGCGGGGGCGTGCTCTCGCGGCGGCGGCTCGAGCCCGACTGCTGCTGCCGGCGCGGCGCGGCCGCTCCAGCTGGGGAGTGTGCCGGCGGCGGCGGCGCGGGGCGGAGCTTGGCCGGCTGGGGGCGCTGATGCCGCACCTGCACCTGCCAACACACACAGAGGCCGCTCAGTTCCGTGCCGCCATGGGAAACGGAGGCACAGCACGCCGCTCATTGGTCCTCACACCGTGACGTCAGCGCTCATGGTGCGGTGGAGACACGGGACAGCGGGTCGGGGCGGCGGAGGAGCGACAGTGGCGACACGGCGCTGGGCGCCGGCAACCCTTCCAGCGCGTGAATGTCGCCGGGGATGTCTGGGGAGGATGGAGTGAACAGGCCCACCGGTACGGGTTTTCCATCTAATGGAACGTCGATGACCATTTACTCATGTCATTGTAAAGTAACGTGACCTTTCCGGTGGATACCAAGCCCGTCTCTACACGCTCTCAGGCATACGTATGGCTCAAAATCGTCTCTGCAGCATACCAAAGTCGGGGTTTGTCTCAACTCGTCGACCGCGAGCGGCGCACAGAATGCTGAGCACTCCTGCGATGGATGTCCTCGGCAGAACAAATGTGCCGATTGCACAAGGCCCCCTGTGTGATCTTACTGAGATTATGGTTATAAATCAGAGAAAGATGTCCGCTGAATCCAACGAAACCGACATAAAATGTTGACAATGAGAGACGCTCCAACAGTTCTCAGCGGAAAATGGATGGAGACGCCCTGATAAAGTGAACAGTTGGCTGAGCAATTTAATGCAGGCAGGCTCGAAAGTTTTCATCCGCAGTTGCAGCTACTGCAGTTATAATGTCAGGAGTTATTAATATGCAGGAATCCATGAAGTCATGCTTCTTTTGATGCTTTTGATGATTGACAGTGCTTTTATGAGCTTTAGGTTTAAAAATGACACCAGGCAATGGTCATTAGGTACCTAAAACTAGCTGTCTGCCGAATAATGGACAGTCATTGACTGATAGTGATTATTTAAATGACGGTATTTCATTGATAGTTGATTCTACTGATAGGGCAGCTATTCCAATACTTAAGTAATTAGATGACAATCAAGTTGAGCGTAAGTTTTTATACCATTGCAGGTACACGGGTTGTGATAAGAATTTAGTTACAGGCTGCATTTAAAAGGATGAGTTGTAGGTTCGTAGTAACGGCGTACATTTAGGCACGACAGAGGTATCGCTGAAGCCATGAGCCACATAGCTTGCTGTTCTAATGACCTTCATCCACTGGCAGAATCAACTAAATGATGATCCCGAGCGGCTCGAAACAGAAAATATCTCTTCATTTGGTTAGTTCTTCAAATCAGGTTTAACAATTTTATAAGGCGTGTTTTGTTTAGTCTTTTTTCAGGGAAGCATTCTAACTCCTCAAATTGTTCAAGTTGGCGAACTCTGTATAAGCCGCCTCATCCTAAATGTGCAGGCGCTATACAGAGGTATAAAACCTACACGTGATTGATATCTTGTCATGTTTTGCGGTTGCCGCTGCTAATGTCACCGCTCTTCTGAGCAGTGTTTAAAGCCGCCGCCGTGTGTTCGCGGTCAGGTGACCAGTGTCGTCGCCGGTCGCAGCCACTTGTTTCCACTCTGCACTGAGCCTGAGCGGTTTGTGGTCCATGGTTTATCACTTAATCCAATTAGTTATCACTTCCTCATGCGAAACTGTTTTATTTAAACTGCTTTTCGGGAGGGTTGCTAAAACTCAAAAATGCCAATATTTCTGAAAAAGTATGGCCATGCCTTGTGTGGTGATGGGTATCTGTCTTCTACGGCGTTGTGTGCTTCGTGTTCTATGGCATGCTATGGAATATTGCACCGCTCTTATTCAAATTTCAAATGATCTCCAAACTCAATAAACAAAAACAAACAAAGCTGGGACACGACACTGCATCCCATTTCGGAAAAGGGTAGGTATCCCGTCTCACGTAGGGTGTGGTCGTTTGGTTGAGAAACCAAACATGCCCGGGACAAAATTCAACTGACATTGGACGATAAGCGCGATATGAAGATCTGGAAGACAGAGATCCTGTTTGAGATGCAAAGCGGATATCAGATTGTGGCGGTCATGATTGTTGGATTCCACAGATGCGAGACTGAGGAAGGGTAGGGAGACAGATGTATATAACATTGCATGTTCGGGCGAATGGGTAAACAAAGGGTTGGGCTGTTCTTACATATAGTGTCCTGGGTCACCGGCAAAGTGCAAATCAGAGTAGGTTCGAGTATGTCACTCTATACGCAAATGGCGTCGTCATTGTAATGCTATTGTAGGGAAGAGAATACGAGAACGGCCTAACTACGACCAGCCTTAATCTAAAGACAAAAAGCGCCATAAATCTATTTGTAAATAAATATATTTTACGTTGACGGCGAGGCACTACTATAGCCAAATCGAGACTCGAGACGTGGCGGGAACACCTTCGAGGAATTGAACCAGTCCTTGCCTCCCAACAGACTACAGCGGCTCACGACAGATGTCGCTCCTAAACGACCCGAGTAATTAAAACGGCCCAGCATTCCGCGAACGTTTCAAAGGCCGCAGAGGAACGCCCAAGGCCTCATGACTCGTTTCCGCCGGCCGCCGCCGGTCGCCGGCGCCGCTGACAGGCCTGATTGGCGAACATCCTCCGGGCCGGGCGGCCGTCTGTATCCAACACGCGCCACGCGACAAACGCAATCAAATTGCGTGTCGTACACATGTTATAATTGGATAGATGGAATTGATCCGTCCGGGGACGATGTAAAAAGCGCGATGACAGCGGCGATACGCTGCCGCTCGATCCATGATGCCGGCGCCGGTTTTTCGGTCGGTCCGTCTCCGAGCGACCGGTTCTGCCGACGCTCTGGTCTGACTGACGGTGGACGGTGGGGCGACCCTGGAGGACGCCTGCTGACTGAGACAAATGCAGCCGGGCCGACCACGGGTGAAACAAACGCAGACGGGTGAAACCGACTCGCACCTCACCGTTGAGTTGAGCATAGGCCGGGGCAAAAGAGTCAAAACGTTCTGGTATAAATATTAGGTACTGGTGGTTAAGATCAGTAGTGGGAGGGGTCGATCAGACCAATAAGTGTGTCTGAAATAAAGGGCAACTTTACAGTAACTTTGTGTTTGAAATGTAAAGTAGATGGGACAATGCTCAAATATCGCAGGCTGCAGCGAACCCAGGTCCTAGGCAGAGACGAGTTGACACCGAGCTATTCCAGACCGAGCTGTCCCTGTCGAGCCGACGTCCTGTCGTGCGACCGGCCCGCGAGAAGGAGCGCTGCCCTCCCGGGACGAGCCGAGGTGAACCGGATAAAAACTGGCCGCTAATTTACCCAGACATGACGGCGACATGAAAAAGGGCACCATGTCACTTCATCGAATAACTCTGAAGACAGCGCCGACTGATGGTATTGGAGGAATTTCCTCGCCGCATATTCATGCCGCTCTGTCCTGGTCGCTGGTAATTATTTTACTGGTTCGGAGCGAATCGCCACATTTCTGCTCACTTCTGTGACGAGACCTGGACAAAGCGAGTCAAAATTGGGGACCAATCCGTCCCATCTTTGATGTGTGTGATGCCATGTTGATCCGAGTCATAGAGTCTCCGTAGCGCTCCAAAAACACCAACAGAACGGAATCCATAACAGCATAATCATTATGTAAATTCGGCGGCAACTCGGGCCGTCCCTAATTGCCCGGTGGGCGGCGAGGGGCGTGCGTTACATGACAGCTTACACGATCGGCCGCTGGCGGCGCTACCGTCGCCCTCGGCCGGCTGAGGTCCGTCCGCCCGCCCGGTCGGCGGGGCTGGGCGCCGGACGCCCGGGGATGCCGGCCGACCGATCGTCATCAGCTCGAGTCAGCTTCTCCCCACAGCACTCCGCCCGCTGTAGTATTCGCGGCCTCTGGACTGCTAAATCAGCCCATTCATCCCTCGTCATCGCGTAGATTTGTCCTTTCACACCGGCGTTTGTCCAATTATTTTCCTCCCACAAGAAGGGCAGTGTGACGGGCGGCGGACTGCATCTGCCGGCTGCGCCCCTCAGAGACCGGTGCCAGCTGCCAGCTGCGAGCCCAAAAACACACCACAGCTGCCACCCCGGGACTGGAATCAGGCCGAACGGATTCCGGCCGGTCCGGATTGGACACGCCGGCCGGCCGCGGGAATCACGCGTCAGGCCGCTGCGGGCCGACCGGAGTGAGCTAGGGAGACCGCTGACCAGCGTGGGCTGTTGAGATATAGGGTGTTGGCCTCACTGAGTCCTGAGATTGGAATGATGATTTCACAAGCATTGCACCCTGTACGACGCTGTGTTCTTCCTTGAATCTTCACTGCCAATATTCACAGTTCCTGTTTCAGATTTAACCTCAAATCCAAGCTTGACCTCACAGATAAAACACATCTACTCGTCCCGTTTTCCCAGCTCCCCACACCGACACCGACCGGCGCGGCGGCCCAGCCCACTAGCACGCCGCGGCCCGGGTCCGGTGGAGCCATGGCGGCCTCTTCCATCCGGCCGGCCGGCCCTCGCTGCCATATAAACTGAAATGGCCTATAATTTAGAGCGCCGCCAACCATGATGGCCGTCGCGCGCCCATTACGCGCTCGTGGGACGACCGCTGACGGTCTCCGATTGATTAACGAAGTGCTTATTGCAGCCATGAACGGTGCCAGTGCCGCGCCGTCAGCGGACAAAAAGGAGAGCACCCAGGGGACGAGACGGTAGCGGTCGCCAGAGATGAGCCGATGGCTTGCATTACTGAAGAGTTGTGGTTGGAGATGTGGAGCGATGGCTTCTTCGGAGCAGTGAAAACATCACGGATGAGATCGTCAGCGTCGGGGATAAAAACGCCGTCGGACATCATGGATTACCCTTCGATCCGTGTAAGCATTGCAAAAGCTTATTACCAGACGGCCAACATCGCTGAGCAGATGTCCATTGTCACAACAGACCAGTCCGCCATCTGGGCAGTCCACCACGTGATCACAATCGTTGTGCTCCGTGACTGCCGGCCAGTGAGCATTCAATTCAGCTGCGGGCGAGCGTGGCCTTGCACACGGCTGGCGGCGGGCGTCCCGCTGCGCGCGCGGCCCGGCC